GATCAGTAGTGACGGTGTTGGGGCATTTTGGGACGGTCTTGACTGTCACTAAAACCCTAATTTCTTGTAGTGATATTACAATAATGCAACTATTATAATTCTCGTTGGAGAGAAACTTGAAAGAATAAAAAGGTCTCTTTAAACACTAAAATTTCATGCACTTTTATTTTGACAAATTGACCCATTAAATATGGGTCTCATATTTAATTAAATTATTTAATTGACCCAAACTTGGTCAATTTAAATTATTTAATTAGCCTAACCCAGTTAATTAAATAAAAAGATAATACTCTCAATAAAATATATTTGAGAATAATTATTTTAATGGATAATTATCACAATATAATCGGTCCGGCCCAGTTATAATTATGTCCTTATTAAGAAAGGACACATGTCATCATCCTATTCATCTAAAAAATCTATAAATAGAGGCATGGAGGAAGGAGGAAAGAGTGCAGAAATTCAGAGATTCAGAAGTCCAGAATTCCAGAGTAAAATACAGAAGTTCTGCCGACATTTATCCCTAACACCCAATCCTTGAATAAGAAGAGCAACAAGTGCATTTACATCTAAAGTCGTGCCGTTTTTCCTCAAATTCAATAAAGAATATCAAGCACATCAAAATCGTACCATTCTTTTCTCCGTGATTCAACAAGTTTGAAAAATTACTAAATAACATTGTTCGAGATCAAACTTTGTCAGCCCTCAATCAAAAATCATTGGCGGCCTTCCTCAAGTACAAATTGAAGAAGATTTTTAACAAATCGATTCAAGATCAAGCTCTACCAGTCCTTGGATCCAATCAACAAATGAGATTGAATTAAATGATATTTTCTTTTTCTTGCAAAGAATACCTCAGACTGTACTTATCATTTTTCATAAATTAATAAATTATTATTTATTTCCTATTTTGTTTATTTTGGGAGGTACAAACTTTGTACGTACAGTCTGAGAGAGAGAGAGAGAGAGTGACCGAGAGAGAGAGAGAGAGAGAGAGAGAGAGAGAGTGAGTTGCAACATGCGGGTAATGAGATCGTTATGTCCCTAAACATTTTCTACATTATATTAGTTTTTAGTGGACTGGTAAACTACATTATATTAGTTTTTAGTGGAATGGTAAACCAAGCTATAAGTGGAACTTGGTTCTGGCTTTAAGTACATGCACACACACATTTATTATATTACAATTATATTTGAATTACATTGTTATGGGCATCCACATTTTCTTTGCACAAGTATTATACATGTTTAGATCTGAACAGTGCAAACACGTTGGTATTTTTGAACTACTCTTTGCATTTACATTTTTCTTTCCTTTCATAATTACTAAGAATTGAATTATATAATACACGTCAAGTGTGGGGTCAAAATAACACATTTTCCAATGGCGGTGCCGAAAAGCGAAAGGGTTGCAAAGATGCAGTCAATTGTACGTGGAATGAGAGACTAATATCTACCTTTCAAAGGATAAAAGAAATAAAAAAAAGTAAACTCATCTCAATATGAATGGATTATTTATGCATATTATATGTAGTGGGGAGTCTTATTTTTTTTATTTATGTGTAAGTAGGTTGACTAAAATAAATAGGTTTGATAATTCATTATAACAAATTGCATAAATAAAAAATTAGAACCCTCCATTTTCATGTGCTATGCATAAATAACCAATCAGAAACATTTAATGTAATAATTCAGTGCAACAAATCGTTACAAGTATCATTACTCATATCAATATACTCAAAAAATAAAAGAAAAAAAAAAATTAAGAGCTAAGATCGAATGGTTACTTTTGTCTCTAGATGCTTACACAGTTCTTTGTGAGACGGACCAGTTCAATTGGTAAGGTTTCGAGGTATTTTGCGTAATTTTTTAATTTGAAACTCATTAAAGGATCAGGTTAGGGTTAAATTTGAATTTACATACTATTATATATATTTGAAGCTTATAAATTGTTTGATAATTTAAAGGTTGAACAATGTTTGATATAGTGAAAAAGAAAATAAGTGATAACATTAGTCAAGAGGAAAAGAAAAAAATAAAAATAAAATGATAGTGTTAACTATTTATCGTATTTAGTTGATTAATGAAGAAAAATAAAGAAAAAATGATAATAATAATGTTTACAGAAAGAAAGAAAAAAATCTATTTTATTGAATTTACAATCATACCATTTTTCATAGATTTAGACTTTTGTAAAAGTAAGAGTAAATTTTATATTAACAAAGTTATATTAAAAATACTAGTCATTTATTCCATTTCCTTTTATTTCTTCACAATTTTAAAAGGATGATAAAAGTTACTATTCATGTCTTTTATTTTCCTCCCAATTCTTCTATTACTTTTATTTTTATTTATTTTAATTTTTTTTACTTTCAACATTTTATACCAAACCTCCATTATCATTCTTTTCTGTTCCTTCCATTTTCATTGTACCAAATTGGCCCAAAATGATTAGTGGGTGGATTTATTCTTCATATATATATATATATATATATATATATATATATATATATATATATTTTTTTTTCTCACCAAAGAAAACATATTGAATAGTTTTCTTTAATAATTGACGAAAGAACCAAGTCTGCGATATGGTGGTGTCTTCTCTTATTTCAAAATGAAAGATAAAAGATTCTTAAATTGCGGTAATGAGACTTACACGGTGCGATAATGACTTTCAGTAACATTTCAAAATGAAAGATAGAGGATTTCTAAGCTTACATGATGGGACTACTTTCGGCAACATTGCTCATGATATTTAATAAAAGATTTGAGTAAATTGCAACTTTCACGTGTTAGAATTGCGAAATAATTATTTGTATGGGATTCAAACTCGATGAATGCACATGAGGAGGATTAATGTAAATTGACATCGACAAATTTTCTAAAGGAGATGCCTCGAATCCAAATTCTATTAACTAATCTAAACTTTTTTTTTTTTTTTTTTGGGTAAAATAAGACGAGTTTTCTAGATTCAAGATGCAGTGAAACCCTGAAATATTTAAAAACTGAATTTTAGACGCAAAAAAATTTAAGCGATAATTGTTAATTGAGATTTTTTTAAAATTTTTTTTGATATATATATTTTTAATGTATTAATTGTTCAGTATTCAATTATAATAAGAATCACCCACCTTCACTTAGAATTTTATATTATTTTATGGGTCACTTATATTTAAATAATTTTTAAAATACATTTGACTTAAAATTTGATTTGACGAGAGGTGTAATTATTTGATAGTTTAATTCAACATTTAATTCTATATATCGTGCGTACCAAATTTAATTAATCCATAACGTCAAACCAAATTGTATTACTTCATGGACTTCCATGCATTCCATTTTGGAAAGTGTCCCGGACATGCACTTTAATCAAACTATTTAATATTCAATTTAAAAAAAAAAAAAAAAACGCAGAGGACTTTATAAACAAAATATTATACGGGCCAAAACAAAACCGAAAAAAAAAAAAAGATACGGGTCAAAACAAAAGACTTAGAGAAGTATCATTAGACACATATGGAAGTTTCAGGTGAGAGAGAGAGAGAGAGAGACTTATCTGTTATATCTGAAGGAATAAATGATACTATAAAGTACTAATAAGCTGAACACATATATGTTAGTGTGTGTGTGTGTGTAAATTACTGTAATTACATAGTGTAGTGTGCTAAGAAGAACAGTTACCATCTTTGGCCTTCTAGAACAGGCTGACCAAAGTGTTCAAACTACTGATATATGCATTGCACACGTGTTAAAAAAAAAAAAAAAAACCACATTGCTCACTTGTTGGTTTCATTCACCATTCATGTGAAGCTCATTTTGTCCGCCAACCTTAGCCGATTTCCATGACTACACTTTGTTAACATTTTCACACTTATATATATATATATATTTTTCGGTGAGCATTTTCACACTTATATATATGATAAGTTTTCGGCGAGTATATATTATCACACACAACACATATTATATGTATGATACATTATATATATCTTAGAAGCTACCTTTGGATATATATATATCAAAGCTCGATCAAGCTTCCACTTTGAGAATCTCAATGGGGATACAATTCAAACTCAACAACTAGCTTGTGAAACAAGTATTCCTTTTCTACTCTATCGTCTCCTGTTTTTTTTTGCTTTTTTTTTTTTGACCCGTAAAATATATTCGGAGTGTATTTGCAGACATAGACGTTAATTTAATAGTCTTTTACAGTTTGCAGGCTTGACACGAACAAGTACATGGTGTGGTGTATCGTACCAGCTGCATGCTTGCCGAGATGGTGGTGTGGTGGGACCCACTATCTCATCTATTTTTTGTTACCTAAAACTTTTTGTCGAGGAAAAATTATTAAATAGTGTTGAATCATATATGATCTAATCAAATTCAATCAAAAACTCAATTCTCTAACCACGAAAAGTGTTACTTAGCATTCTTCTAACACTTCGAAATGAGGTGGTAAAGTTCTATAATATGTTGGTTTGCATACTAAGAACTAGCCTAGTTCGTGAAATTCCTGTCATTATAAGATTTGGCCAGTCAAATGCAGGTAATCTTATCGAAAAAAAAAAAACATCTTTTGTTTCAAATGTATAACTTTCAGGCAATAATGGAGCAACATCATTATTAAATTCAAACCTTGCGAGAGGCATATCAAGAAACCTTAAAAATAAACTTCTATAATCAAATTGGTGATGATCCAACGTTCTTTGATGCATCTCCATCCCAAGTGATATATATTAACTTGAAATTATAATCAAGATATATTAGAGCCGTTCAACTTTCATGCAATAATATTGACTATATATGTTGCAATGCAATATACTTCATCTCATAAATTCTTCTTTTGATTGTTAAAAATTTCCGGCCCGATACAACACAAAAATCATTAAACCAACATTTCTTGAAAACCCTTAAGAAAAAAGTTTTTGAGCATAAAAAAGAAAATCACAATAGATATAAGATGAGATATATATATATCTCCGGTGAACTTGGATCAACTACCCTTTCGAGTGATCATTAGGATCAAAATCTTCCCAATTATTTGGAGGATCACAACTTGAAGAAGAACTTCTAGACTGTGGTGGAAGTCTTCTAACCTCTCCCCCTTCTTGTTGCCAATTATATGTTGATGCAGAGGAAGATGTTGAAGATGAAGACATAGACGGCGAAAGATATGTTCCTCTGTGGTAGATACCGGATGGTATGGCGTGGTTCAAATTATGATCTTCACTATCAAGAACTTGTGCATAATGAGCAAAATTATTAGGAGGAGGAGGAGCAACCGAGTGAGCCATGAACCGCAAGTCTTGATGAGTTGTTAGGCAACCCAACTCGATTCTCCCTTGAACTCTTTCAGGGAAGTTGAGCTTAGCTTTGTTTCCTTTAAATCTAAGAGTTGCTTTGTGATGACCTTGGTTTTTAGGCTAGCGTGTCCTGTGATGAACCGTAAAGATGATCCGATAACGGATCCGAATGCGGAAGCGAAAATAGAAAACAAGCCTCTAAGAAGACAAAGTGACATTCCATGAGGTCGTGGAACTCAACAAGAACTGATGCGGAAGCGAAAGATCGAAAATATGACAAATAAGCCCCTAGGGGCAAAATAGTCATTTATGAAAATTATAGATTCGGATGCCACCAAGCACACCGCTGGAAGGACAACGAAAAACTAATCAAGATGGACTCAAGAATCGCATGATTCGGAGTTCGAACGAAGGAGAAACGGCATGACAAAGAAAAACGAGCACTTAAGGCAAAAAGGGTAAACTGGTAATTATTTAGGAAGAACCGGGTGCAACCGAGCACACCGTTGGAAAGACAGCGAAAAATTAGTCAAGTTCAAAAAAAAATTCACTTGAATCGGAGTCCGGACGAAGGAGAAAAGCCCAAAAGAAGAATTGACGTCGCGGCGGCCCGACAAGGTCCATGGTGCACACGGCGCCCATACGCGAGCCCACCGGTGCGCATGCCAGCGCCCAAAGACATGGCTGGTGGCAGCTCTTGGCTGCTGCTATATTTTTTTTTATCTGCCCAGAACTGAGGCTTGAAACGGAGGTCAAGACGAGCTTTTTTGGAAAAACATGAAGAAAAAACCCCCCCTGAAATCGAGTTTTCTACCTGACTTAGCGGACAAAATCGAAAAAAACTCACTGTGAAATCTCCAAACTGCCCCTAGATCAGAACTGAACAAGAAGGTCATAAAGCTGCTAAATGAAAACCGGAAGCTGAAACTTCATGAGGGATTTCCGATACCAAGACGACATTTTCTGGAAAAACACGAAGAAAAAACCCCTCCTAAAATCATGTTTTCTATTCAACCATGTCAAAAGAAGAAAATAAAACTAATGTGAAAGGTCCATAATGCCCCTAGATCAGAATATGAAAAAAAAAATGCGAAATGAATTCACAAGAGGCTCAAAACACAAACGATAAGGTTTTTCTCAAAAAAGACCATGCAAACAAACGTAACCTACCTATTTGGACGTGCTACAATGGTCCACGACTTAAAAATACCACCGATACAAAATCCGACCCCCCAACGGGCAAGAAGTCAAAAATGGAACTTCGAATGAAAACTCAGAATCCAAAAATACAAAACGGGATCAAATGACCGTTTGGCCCTTGGCCACACTTCAAACATAATTTATGAGACCCTATGAAAGAATGAGAATGGAATTCCCACACCCGATGCAACCATGGTGAAGCAATGACTTGCGATTTTTCAAGATTTTCACAATATTTCATGAAGTTAAAAAGTACATAGAATACAATATAATATTCATTGGCCTCATGCCTCATCTCATACATATCAAATACATTGAAAGAAGTGTACTTAAGTACACATTACATACATGGAATCAAATATACATATTTTGACATATAAGTCTACAAAACGACATTTCATGCTAACATTCGTATGAAATGGAAACATGAAAGCTACACGACATCCAAGGAATGCTAGGCGTCACGAACCAAGTCTTCGTACCAGAAATATGCCCCAGTATCGTAGGGGTGAGTAACATAAAGCTACTCGTAGGAGATGAGTATGCATCGACCTAGCATTTTATAAATTTATCACCTTAAGCTGAAAACATGTTAAAGGGGTTCATGCCACCTAACGTCTATATCGAAATGAGACTCAGGGAGCATCCTAAGCTACCTTAGAGTGTTTCTAGCATAAATCACATCATCTATGCCATTTAAACAATATGGAAGCACGTTATACAAAGTAACAAGATATAGGTTCTTAAAGGTATTAACTTACAATCTCGAATACAGAAACAACTAAAGTGATTATGTCACCTAACGTCTATGTTCTAAATAAGTCTAAGGAATCATCCTAGGCCATGCTGAACAATCAAACCGCAATTTACAACTTTAATGCAATCTAACCACATAGAAGCATATTATACAAGGCAACAAAATACAATTTCTTAAAGCTATCAGCTTGAAATCTAAAGTACAAAAACAATAGAAGTGGGTCATGCCACCTAACATCTAAGTTATAAATGAATCAATAGGATCAATCCTAAGATTTGTTAGAACGTCAAAACACAATTTTCAATATCGATGCAATTTAACCAACATTGGAACTTCCAATACAACGCATAAAGCATAATTTCGCAAAGTTAACATCATGTAACTTAAAATGGAACAACAAATAAGAAACAATAAGTTACAACATCCTCTAGTTATCAACTTGAAAATGAAATGCGAAATCAAACAAAGTGGATACTCGGACGTCACGTCGGATCAGACCGAAAACATAGTTACTTTAGGGTTACTAGCCCATGGGTAACCTCCCTATGTGCGCACTAGACCATATAGAGGGACTATCCCCCGTACTAGAACCACATCCCAGCTATAGTCAAACAACGACATCCCCAAGTTTTCAAAATCAACAAGTTGTGTAACAATGCATATATCAACAGGAATATGCAAGATAATTAACTATCTACTAAGCACAACCAAATTTGGAAACCTATACAATACATGCTCTAAATCCACAACTAATATAATATGATGAATGTCAAATCTTCAGTGTGCGATTCGTTACACGCTATGCATGAAAGATGTTAAACACGAAGTGTGCAAATCATTACACAAGGCAACAATATATTCAATAAGGAAAACATATTATCACGAATACAAACATAGCAACTATGTTATCCAATGTTCAAAACATAACCAAATGAATATACAACAAGTCTAAGTCCATGATTTGAATATATAAACCACTTCTAAAACACAACTAGATTATGGAGCAAATTGATAGAATTTAAATAGATAAACACAATTAAATTCTCTAAATTCCGATTCAATTCTAAGTAACCTCAATTTAATACATGTTAAAGGACATGGCATGGTTATCACCTATATCCATTCTAAAACTCAATTAGGTTGTTGGAACAACAAAGTATAACTTTAATTAAATCTTGCAAATTTAATTACCGAGGTTCTAAAACAACTTTTAATAGTCCCAAATTAATATATACTAGTAAACAAGTCATGGCCAATACAAATATCAAGTCAAAATCTTAATTAAGCTAATGGGACAACAAAATAGATTTTAATTAATTCTTTTAATTAAAATCTCTTGATTTTCAAACTTAACCAAATGCTCTCAAATTAACCTATGTTGGAAAACATGCCAAGGACTAATGTAATATCACATTATAAGTTTATTTCATTCAATTTACGACCATGCGAATTAAACCTTCAATAAAGTTAAATATAAAACAAAAGTTGCAATTCTCATGCAATAAATCCCAATTTAATACATGTGAACAACCATATCAAAACTTAATTTTCTAGCATGCCACAATACAATTCCAAGTTGTATATCACCATGAGGATTAAATCTTAAACATGTAATTTAATTAAATAAAAGGTTTCAAAAACTAACCGAATATTCTAAATCAAATATATGTGAAACTATATGGCATGTAAATCAAGAATATAAAGTCGGAATTTAAATAGAGTGAATAGTACACTCGGGGCAAATTAATTAATCAAATTAATTAATAATTACTAATTTTCAAAATACCTCCAATCACTTTCAAATTCAACTATGTTGGAGAGCATGCTAAGGCCTAATTTAATATGCTAACACATATTGATTTTAAGCTAGTTAAGGCCATGTGAATTAATCTTTCACCTAAGATAAATATTAAATAAAATTTTTAATACTTATTCAAATGTTTCAATTTTAATACACGACAATGAGCATATCTAGGGGCAATATAAAATCATACTACATGTTTAAACCAAGTCATGAGCAACCGGAAAAATTAGATCCCGTACAAGAAAAATAAATAATAAAATCTCTAGATTTTATATTTAATTATGCAAACAAGTAGTATAAGCATCACAAACATGCTATATAACAAGAATTTAAACCCTAGAACATCTCCTACCTCAATTTGAGATGAAAATCTCAAAAGCCATCAAAATGGAACGGCTCTGAATCCGACGAAACTACTAGGTTTTGTCGTGGACAATGCCGTGACCATAACCCCCATGAAAGCCCCATCAAAATCATAACTTGACCTCAAAACTAAACTCAAGAAATGGTCAAAACTGAATTCTAATAAGGGGAAAAGGTAGAGCACGGCGAGGGGAACAACAAACGTTAAGGCCGAAGACTTTTCATCAAGGAAAAGTGAACCAAAAGAGGAGAGAGAAGATGGAAGCACCCCTTGGGCTGCCATGGGAGCTCCAGGTCGTGCATGAAGAGTGGAGAAGATGAAAAATGAAATATCTCACCCCCATTTTATAGAAATCTCAAAAAGTGCCCCGAACGGGCCCCGCCGGGTCCGAAAAAGTAAAATTTGAGCAGACGCACTCAAATGGCAAAACTTTATGAACAAAAAAGATTTAAAATGATAAAATATGAACAACGGAAGAGACGGTGTTGAAAACCAAGTCCCGAGAATAAAGTTATGCCCAAAACAAGTTTGGTGAAAACTGGGGCCAGAAACCCTGAAACTGAAAAATATCGACCAGGAGGAAATTCCAAGAGTATATAACTCGACGAAATGTGAAAATGAATCCCGTACGAGGATCTAGGCTCAAAACAAGATATTTGGAATAACTTTCATTAATTGCACAATGGCCCCTACAAAAAGGGTTAACTGCGAAATTGCCCCAGAATGAAAATATCTTCCAAAAGATATTTTCTTAGAAACCTTTGAAATAAAATATCTTCAAAAGATATTTATGAAAAACACCACAAGAAAAGAAAATAATTTCAAAGAACTTTGCATCCATGCCCCAATGGATACCGGAAGCAACCAGAGTACTTTCTTGCAAAAGTAAAGATATGTATTTCGTGAAAACCACTCAAGATGAAAGCACGTGAAGTCAAAAACCAACTCCGAGCATGAGAAGTGAGGTTGT